GGCCGGCCGGGGGGGGCGCGCCCGTGACAGGCGGGGGGATGCGCTTGCAGAGAGGGGGCGAGACCACGGCGGGATAACTGAGCACAAAAGGCCCGAGAGACCCTTGCAGTGAGACTTTCGGTGGAAGAGGAGCCGCCCCTCTCCCACACACGTGCCAAAGGCCCGCCCCGCTCCCCGGGGCGCTGCTCCTAAAGCACCAGGCTTCCCTCTTCCCAGCGCTTCCCGCCTAAAGGGCTGTTCTGCGTGTTTCACAGGATCCTCCTTACAGAGGATGTCTGCTTAGAGCCAAGGCCCGAGAGACCCTTGCAGTGAGACTTTCGGTGGAAGAGGAGCCGCCCCTCTCCCACACACGTGCCAAAGGCCCGCCCCGCTCCCCGGGGCGCTGCTCCTAAAGCACCAGGCTTCCCTCTTCCCAGCGCTTCCCGCCTAAAGGGCTGTTCTGCGTGTTTCACAGGATCCTCCTTACAGAGGATGTCTGCTTAGAGCCTCCTAGCTGTTCTGATGCAACCCCCTGACCAAGTGTTTTCCTGCTTTTAAACCATTTACTTGTTTGAAAAATGTGATTTGTAGTTCTCTTAGCACTTCATTTACCTTACCTATCCTTGTACCAATGGGCACAACGTTAATAGCCAACAGTCCTGAAAATATTTCTAGTTGCTAGCAATCACACCTCAGGGTTTCTGACACCATTCCGTTTTGTGATCTTGGATTCCATTCTGTTCTTTTTTCACATTTTTACACTCTCGGTTATCTGTGGGTACTCTGTTAATCAGCTGGGTGGTGTTTGGATCTTTCCTGCATGGCTACACAAGCGCACACTGTACAGGGAACCCTGGTGGCTACCCCAGCCACCTACAGGCAGTCCCCGACTTACGCGGATCCGCACTTACGAACGGGGCTTTCTCGCCCCGGAGGTCGAGGTGGCGGATTGTTACCTGCGAGCTCCGGGGCGAGAAAGCCCCGTTCGTAAGTGCGGATCCGCGTAAGTCGGGGACTGCCTGTAGGTGGCTGGGGTAGCCACCAGGGTTCCCTGTACAGTGTGCGCTTGTGTAGCCATGCAGGAAAGATCCAAACACCACCCAGCTGATTAACAGAGTACCCACAGATAACCGAGAGTGTAAAAATGTGAAAAAAGAACAGAATGGAATCCAAGATCACAAAACGGAATGGTGTCAGAAACCCTGAGGTGTGATTGCTAGCAACTAGAAATATTTTCAGGACTGTTGGCTATTAACGTTGTGCCCATTGGTACAAGGATAGGTAAGGTAAATGAAGTGCTAAGAGAACTACAAATCACATTTTTCAAACAAGTAAATGGTTTAAAAGCAGGAAAACACTTGGTCAGGGGGTTGCATCAGAACAGCTAGGAGGCTCTAAGCAGACATCCTCTGTAAGGAGGATCCTGTGAAACACGCAGAACAGCCCTTTAGGCGGGAAGCGCTGGGAAGAGGGAAGCCTGGTGCTTTAGGAGCAGCGCCCCGGGGAGCGGGGCGGGCCTTTGGCACGTGTGTGGGAGAGGGGCGGCTCCTCTTCCACCGAAAGTCTCACTGCAAGGGTCTCTCGGGCCTTTTGTGCTCAGTTA